ACCTCGCCAAGCGGGACGCCGGCGGCGCGGCGCCCGCGCCGGCCGACCACCGCCGCGGGCAGTCCAGCGGCGACGCCTGCATCGCGAGCGGGGCGGCCTCGGAGGCCAACGCCGTGGAGGCCCCGGGCGGCTGGGCGCGGGCGAGTGCTCCCTCCCCTCCTCTAGGGAGGGAGGGAGGGAGGGAGGGAGGGAGGGAGGGAGGGAGGAGGAAGGAGGAGGAGAAGGGAGGAGGAGGAGGAGGAGGAGGAGGGAGGTAGGAGGAGGTGTACATGGAGGAGGAGGGCGGAGGGAGGAGGAGGAGGAGGAGGGAGGGGGAGGAGTCGGACGGGAGGGGCCTCAGGCGATCGCAAACATGGATTGAGGGGGCGTGGATTAGCGACGGGTCCAGTTCCCATGGGAAATCGCGGACTCCCGCCGCCGAGCGAGGCAGCACCAGTCGCATTCTGGGGAGGGCACCTCCCCCCGATCCATGGATTTGGCGACCGCGCGCCAAATCCATGGAACGCTAATCCATGTTTGCGCGTCCCGGACTCCTCGAGGGAGGGGCAACGATATTTGATGGGCCGATCTCCCACCACCATTGCCACAGGTAGGAGAGGCTTGAGGCAGGAGGAGAAGGAGGAGGAGGAGGAGGAGGAGGAGGAGGAGGAGGGGGCGGACCTCCCCAGCCTCCCTTCTCCCCCGTCCGACCTAGGGTAGTGGTGGTGGAAACCTGGCCCATCGATAATAGGCGATCCTTTGGACGTTTCCGCCGCTTTTCAGCGGTTTCCCAGCTTGGGGGATGCGTTCCAGCAGCTGCGCCTCGCGCAGAGGGTCCTGTGGGTGCCAGAGTCGTCCCGGACGGCCGCCCGAGGCCCGAGATCTGGCAGGACAGCCACTCGGATGAGGGGTAACGCTTGCAGGGGATAGGCTCTAGGGAGGGGGGTGCATCGACCCCCAATCCCAGATCGATCGCCGACAGGGGAGCCGACAGCCCGCCTCCGCCCAGGAACGTGCGGCTTCGCTATCGGGGGCCTGTCGCCGATCGATCTCAGGAGGTGGAAAAGCACAGACACAAAGAACCGTCGATCCCCCAGAAAATATGGGGAAATATGGGAAGTGGGGGGAAGAGAGACCTCCAGAACATATTGTGGAATGTGGGGAATCATGGGATTTGTGTCTATTTGTTTGTGTGCCCCTGGGCCCTCGGCGAGGTATCGCCGATTCCTGGCTGACAGGTTCTCCCCCTGTGCCAGTCCCCCCCGTGCCGTTGCCCATCAGGGAGGGGCCCTCCATCGAGTGTCCCCCGAGGAGGAGAGGGTATCGATACCATTACGGTCGGACCAAGGTAGAAGATCGAGGTCGGCTCGGAGGGGGTACCGTGATGTTCTTCGTCTTTGTCGGATGTTCTTGTGCATCCTGGGGAAGGTACCCTTGGATGTTCTGAGTGTTTTGGCCAGCGGAGGGTCTCATGCTCTTGAAGGGTGTTATTATGTCTTAGGGCCGGCCGTACAGATACCACTACCTCTTGCCTCGTTTTCGCCTCTGGAGCTGCTGGGAGGCCCCGTCGGATGCGCTTCGAATTCTGGTCAGAACGTACCCCAGGAGAAGTCTGGGCAATAGCGGTAGCGGTGCCTGCTGGTCCTTCAGGACCATCAGATCCAGGCGTCGTTACTTCCTCACACCGCGCGTTTTCGCGTGGCTTCGGCCCTGGGGCCATCACATATCGATCTGGCTCGGAAAAATGCCACAGAAAGATGTAGTCTCGGGCTCTGGTGATGATATTTCGCGATGCTGCTTTGTTTCGCGACGTCGGATCCCAGGGGAGGGGAAGGAGGAGGACGAGGACGAGGACGAGGAGGAGGAGGAGGAGGAGGAGGAGGAGGAGGAGGAGGGAGGACGAGGGCGAGGAGGAGGAGGAGGAGGAGGAGGAGCACGAGGAGCACGAGGAGCACGAGGAGGACGAGGAGGAGGAGGAGGAGGCGGTCTTCCTCCTCGTCCTCCCCTCGGAAGGTCCGCCAGAGGTCCGGGGGGGCTCCTGCGCCGACCGCCCGCGGCGCGCCGTTAGGCGCGCGTTTGCGCGGACCTGCGAACTCGCTGAGTCGAGCTGCGGCGGCAGGAGGCCTCCTCCTCCTCCTCCTCCGCCTCCGCCTCCTCCGCCTCCTCCTCCTCCTCCTCCTCCTCCTCCGCCTCACCTCGCCTCCGCCTCTCCGCCCCGCTCCTCCTCCTCCTCCTCCTCCTCCACACCTCCTCCACCTCCTCCACCTCCTCCATTCTCTCCTCCTCCTCTCCTCCTCCTCCTCCTCCTCCTCTCCTCCTCATCCTCCTCCTCCTCCTCCTCCTCCTCCTCCTCCTCCTCTTCCCGGGAGGGCAACGCCATGTGGGGGAGGACGGCGACGGGAGGGAACGCAACGCCATCAGGGACTAGAGTGAGGCCAGAGCTTGTGTGGAGGGCGAGCAGTGGCAGGGCAGTGGCGGGGCACCGATCCGCACCTGTGATCCTGGAGCCGAGCGGCGCAAGCGCCGCGAGCACCTGGACGCTGTGAGCACGCGCCTCGGCGTGCAGGGCAGCGGCAACACCTCGACCGAAACGAAGGAGGAGGAGGAGGAGGAGGAGGAGGAGGAGGAGGAGGAGGAGGTACGATGGGATAAGGTCATTTCAGATAAGGTAACACATATACTATAACAAACGATGGAGGCGGAAGGTGTACCGCGGAGAGTAAGATAACAACCCAGGGGCCCCCGCCCTCCTCCGACACGGCCCCCCCTCCCCGACGCGCCCCGCCTCCTCCCGCACAGGGAGGGCGCTGGCCTGCAGGGTCCAGCGCTGGAGCGCCAGCGGGCCCAGCCCGCAGCGCGCCCGTAGGCGCCCAGGCGTCCAGCAGGGCGCCCAGGGCGGTCCTCGACGGAATACACCTGGCATCGTTCGGACGTGTGTTTTTTTTCTCGGCGAGGACCATCGAGGAGCATCCTTGATCAGTTGGCGAAAAAACCACGCACGAAACCGAAAAGCACACAGGGAATGGACGTCCGAGCGATGGCGAGTACATCCTGGGGGGGGGGGCGCGGGGTCGGGGACGGGAGAGGACCGACGCCGCCATCGACGTCAGGTCGGAAGGCCACAAAGGCTTCGGGCTCGGCAGAACTCCGGCCCTCATGCGTACCGAGCCACCTGGGGAAGCGTTTCAGCTGGATCCGCTCCTTCTGCTGGCAAAGGCCCGCCACGAAACTCCTCCGCCGTCGCAGGGCTGCAGGGCTGAGCCAGCCCTCGGACCGCCCCCCAGGCAAAGGCCCCACACGAAACGCAACAGATCAGACGAGGGCCCGCGAGCACCGCGGAGCCTGCAGCGTCGAAAGCGGTAGAAACTCGCAGGCAGCGAACCGTAAGCTTGCAGAGGAGACCGAGCTCGGGGTCCAGGGGCCCTGGGCAACCTCAGAAAGAACCGTTCTGAAACGTAGGGGAAGCTGGGGCGGCTGGGCTTGGACCCGCGGGCGGCCCGACCGAGCCCCCGCGCAGGCCACCTCAGGGAGGCCCTCGGAGTCCCTCCAGGCCCTCCCCTTCATTAAAACGCCCTGGCGCCCAACCCACCGGCCAACTTCCCGACCCAACATCTGGAGGCCTCTCAACGGGTCAGCAGCCTGAGAGGTGGACGGGTGAAGGCCCGTGCCTCTCTTATCGAAGGCATCCGCGATGCCGTTCGTTCTCCTTTCCCACCAAGTGGCCCAACCCCCGCCCAGCGTCAGCTTCACTGGTGCGGGCTCGAGTCCTGTGCACCACCAAGCCCTATTCAAAAACAGTGTGCGCTTGAGTCCAGAGGTGGGCTTGCAGGTTCCGAGAGGCCGTCGCTCTAAGAGCTGGCTGAATTGGACCAGCCCGCGATGGGACGGAAAGATCCCGCTCGCCAAGAAGTCTCCAGCCTCCCCCGAATTCTTGGGCAGGCGTGCCGCAGCCAGGCACCCATCAGAAAGAAAGTGCCTGCGGTCCCCCTGCCGCGCAGAGCACCTGGACCTGCGATGGAAAAGGGAATCAGGCTCACCGCGACGCAGCCGGCACTCGGGGGGGCGAAGCCGTGCCGAAATAGCTTCTCCTGAGACCAGTGGGTGCCCGAGACGGCCGCGCGCCGTGAGCCCCAGTGCTGCTCGGTCCACGTTTTGGTCGCGCGGCCCAAAGGGGAAGCCCAGAGGCTGCCCCCCAAAAAACAGGCCGAGACCAGGGGAACGGTCTCCGCGCGGAGCTCCAGGGACCGAAAGTCCGACATCTCCCTAGCAGCCTTCAGCTAGCTCAGTCACTGGCGCGGGGGAAAGAAGCGAGCAGTCTGAGCATGCGCGCCGAGTGTCAGGAGGGGAAACAACTCACAGACACAATTAATCGGCGACTCCCAGAAAATATGGGAAAATATGAGAAGTGGGGGGAAGACAAAAACCCCAAAAAGTATGAAAATATGGGGAATATTTTTATTTGTGTGTATTTATTTGTGTGTCCCAGTTCCCCTTCAGAGTGTGCAGTCCGGCCCAGGCCCCCGCAAGCGATCGCGAGCGCGCGCGCAGGCGACGCGGCACGACTCCGAGGTCGACTTTTGGGCTGGCAAGCACAAGAACGGCCTTGGACGCCTCTTGGGCGTCTCTTGGGCCGTCGTGGAGGCCTCCTGGGCCGTCTTGGGTTTGTTTTCGGCGGTCTTGGGCTCTCTTGGAGCGCTCTTGGCCCGTCTTGGGGGTGTCTGGGGCCGTCCTGGGCGCCTCCTGGGAGCATCTTGGGGCCGCCTGGGCGCCTCTTGGGTCTGTTGACGCTCTCTCGGGCCGGTTTTCGTGCCTCTGGGGGGCCTCTTGGGCCGTCTTGGCGCGGTCGTGGGGACCTCTTGTCCCATCTTCTGCGCCATATACCCGACAAGCAGTGTATGCTAAAATTGAATGTTTTTCTTTGGAAAAACAATGATTTGGGCCTGTGGGGGCCATCCTGGGACGCCTCTTGGGCATCTCTGGGACCGTCGTGGAGGCCTCCTGGGCCTTGTCGGGGCCGTTTTCGGCGGTCTTGGGCCGCTTTGGGGGTGTCTGGGGCCGTCCTGGGGCTCCGTCCCAGAGAGCCCGACGCCACTCAAAAGCCGCCTGCTTGAACTGCATCGGCACGGGGTTCATGCGGGCC